GTATTGTTCTTTGTTCTTTAAAACATGAAACATGGTTAAAGCTAATTATTGTTGAAGCCAAAGTTAGGATCTTGCGTACATTTTGTTGCTTGTAAAAATATTATGTGTTGAAATACTGTACTTTACATGTGCATGACTATGGATTACCATAGTTTGCAAAATAAAATAAATCATTAAATACAAAAGAAACACTGTATTTCTTAGCAGAATACAACTTTAAAGTATTAGTTAATTGAAATAGTGTATATTTCTAAATGCTGACATTCATAAACAAAATAATTTTAAAACAAATACATTTAAAGATATGGAAGAAACACATTATAAACATAGTTAGTTGAAATAAATGTTAAAATATAACTTAAACTAAAACAAATCACTGGAGAAACTTAGCATCTTTGGAGGGAGAACCAGAAACTGGATGAGTTCTGAAAATGGTTATTGGACTTGAAACGTTAACTCTGCTATATCTCCAGAATTTCTGTTTTTGTTTCAGATTTCGAGCATCCACAGTACTTTGTATTACTAAAATTTAATTTACCTGATTGACTTTTAATTGACCAGACTCTATCTAATGGTAGAATGTGGTTGGTGCAGGTGGAACTCCCCACACAGGCCAACTGGAGACCAGGACTTCAGTGCAAGTTTAGAATAGCAGCCAGGACAGAAACAGAGAAATTGAGGTGAAGAGGAAATAAGAGTGAAGAGAAATAATCACAGATAGGCCAGGGGGACTGAGTGCTAGAAAGGAAGCACGTGAAAAAAGTCTGGAGAACGGATAGACCATGCAGAGATCCGCAGCAAGCAACATTATCACATTAGTGGATATGCATAGGAATGTTGTCTCCTGATGGGACTTGTAAAGCTACACCAAGGCTCATGGTTTTGGCTATCTGCAGGTAAAGGGTCATCTGGCATGTGAGAGGCTTTCAAAAATGAGATAATGAGAGTTGAGTGACAATATGTTCCTGTAATGAGTGAAGGGCAAGGCTGCTAGGCGTAGTGAACACTGGATAACTAGAGATATTAAGCCTCTGGTCAAGAAAAAGAAGGAGGCATATGTTGGGTTTAGACAGTTGGGGTCAAGTGAATCCTCCCAGTAGTCAACCGGAAGTTGGGGAGCAAATATGTAGGGAGATCTTAGATTTCTGTAAGAAAATAACTTGATTAGTTTTTTGAAGAAGTAACAAAGAAGATTGATGAGGGCAGAGTGGTGGACGTGATCTATACAGACTTCAGTAAGGCATTCAACAAGGTTCCTCATGGTAGACTGGTTAGCAAGGTTAGATCACACTGAATACAGGGAGAACTAGATATATGGATATAGAACTGGCTTGAAGATAGAAGACAGAGGGTGGTGGTGGAGGGTTGCTTTTCAGGCTGGAGGCCTATCACCAGTGGTGTGCCACAGGGATCAGTGCTAAGTCCACTGCCTTTTGTCATTTATACAAATGATTTGGATGTGAACACATGAGGCATGGTTTAGTTAGTTTGCAGATGACACCAAAATTGGAGGTGCAGTGGACAGTGAAGAAGGTTACCTCAGAGTACAAAGGGATTTTGATCAGATGAACCAAGGAGTGGCAGATGAAGTTTAATTTAAATAGATGTGAGGTGCTGCATTTTGGAAAGGCAAATCAGTGCAGGACTTACGCACTTAATGGAAATGTCCTCAGGAGTGTTGCTGAGCAAAGAGACCTTGGAGTTCCTTGAAAGTGGAGTCGTAGGTAGATAGGATAAAGAAGAAGGCATTTGATATGCTTGCCTTTATTGGTCAGTGCATTGAGTTTAGGAGTTGGGAGGTCATGTTGTGGCTGTACAAGACATTGTCTAGGCCACTTTTGGAATACTGTGTGCAATTCTGGTCTCCCTGCTATAGGAAAGATGTTGTGAAACTTGAAAGGGTTCAGAAAAGATTTACAAGGATGTTGCCAGGGTTGGAAGGTTTGAACTATAGGGAGAGGTTGAATAGACTGGGGCTATTATCCCTGGAGCATCGGAGGCTGAGGGGTGACTTTATAGAGGTTTATAAACAATGAGAGGCATGGATAGGGTATATAGACAAGGTCTTTTCACCAGGGCAGGGTAGTCCAAAACTAGAGAGCATACGTTTAAGGTGAGAGAGGAAAGATTTAACAGGGATCTAAGGGGCAATGCTTTCATGCCGTGTGTGGAATGAGCTGCCAGAGGAGGTGGTGGAGGCTGGTACAATTACAACAATTAAAAGGCATCTAGATGGGTATATGAATAGGAAGGGTTTAGAGGGATATTGGCCAAATGCTGGCAAATGGGACTAGATTTATTTAGGATATTTGGTCAGCATGGACGAGTTGGACCAAAGAGTCTATTTCCGCGCTGATTCTATGACTCTAATAATAGGGTTGTAATGGTGGGGGATTTTAACTTTACAAGCATAGACTGGGGCTGCCGTAGCGTAAAGGGCTTTGATGGGAGGAATTTGTTAAATGTGTTCACGAAAATTTTCTTATTCAGTATATGGATATATCTACTAGAGATGGATTAGATGCAGGCAAATGGGACTAGTTAAGTTTGGGATACCTGGTCGGCACGAACGAGTTGGACCGATGGGTCCGTTTCTGTGCTGCGTTACACTATGACTCTATATGAGTAGAATCATAAATAGAAGGAAAAGCAATTTTGAAAGTTTTTTCTTGCAGGTTAGAAGCAAATGCTTGGCAGTATAGATCGATTGATATTAAAGTGGCATGTCTGCTGGAGGGTCAGCCCAAGAAGGAAACGTTCCTTTATCCTCCAAAAGCAGCACCAAATGAAGTGCAGTCATTCTGGAAGTTAAATAAATTGGATAAGGACTTTAAGATCTGGACAGTTTTCTTTTTCTTTTGGCTCTGTTTCTTTTATTTCTTCTATTGTTTTTGTTTTAAATTCTGGTTTTGTATTTTGTATTTTAAGATGGTACTGGAGATTGGCAACTTTATACACTTTTCACTGTACTCCTGTATTCCTGTACTTGAGTACATGTGACAATAAAATCTAATTCCAATTCTGATTCCAAAATGTATGATTTAAATGCCTCCAGAACTTGATACTCTTCATCTCTTTATTAAAGATCTCTTTATTAAAATTGGGCTGTCTTCCGTTAAAAGCAGACCATGACATGTTTTACTGGCACCTTGAGGGGCATCTTTATAACAGAAAATGTTAGCCCCATTGCTATTAGTCAAAGTAGGGCTTCACAAATAGATACAGTGGCTTTCAGAACTGAAATGGACAGCTGAATTGGCTGAGAACCCAAAGAAGGCCAGATGCCAGTTTTGAAGTGCAACTATGATAAGGTGGAAGATATTATTCAGGCAAACAAAACATGGAAAAGAAATGAAAAATGGAGCATTTTGTTTCAAAGTTTCCATCATTTGGTAGATGCCAGGAAAACACAATTTGTTTTTAAATTATTTTTTTCTGATGAAGGGTCTAGGCCCGAAACGTCAGCCTTTCTGCTCCTATGATGCTGCTTGGCCTGCTGTGTTCATCCAGCCCTGCACCTTGTTGTCTCGGATTCTCCAGCATCTGCAGTTCCTACTATCTTTGTTTTTAAATTATGCCTCTTGTATAAATGGAAGTTATTCTTGGGAGAAAAAGAAGTAATGGAGGGAAGCTAAAAAGATATCAGAACAGTAAAGAGTACTCTTAGCAGCAGAAACTCTCACTTTTGATGAGGTAGTAAACATGAAATTTGTCTCAGTGAAAATATTTTTAAAAATTAAGGGATCCAGCAGCAATGTCTATTGAATACTACATCGACAATAAGTCATTAGGAAAGGTACATTCGACAAAACTATTTTTAAAATATTCATTCAGGGCATGTGGCCATTGTTGGCCAGACCCAGCATTTATTGATCATTCCTAATTGCTCAGAGGACAGTTAAGAGTCAACTACATTGTGGTGGGACTGGAGTTATATGTAGGTCAGACCAGCAACTATTGCAGTTTCTTTCTGTAAAGAACAATAGTTACCCAGATGGATTTTTCCTGACAATTGACAATGGTTTCATGGCCACCATTAGACTCTTAATTCTAGCTCTTTTTAAAAGAATTCAAATTCCATCATCTGTCGTGACAGGATTTATACTCAGGTCCCTGGAACATTTCCTGGGTCTCTAGATTAATAGGCTAGTGATAATACCACCGGGCCACTGACTCCCCAAAATGTGTGAATGAAAAATGATTGATGATAATGCAATTTTAAAACAGTCACTGGAGAATACAGAAATTCAACACTGATATGGGTGAACAGCAGTCAGTTATCTGACTGTTTTGCAAAGAAGGAAGTAAGGTTCAAGAAACTGTTGGACATGTTGGGAATAAAAACTTTAAACTGCAAAGAAATAAATGGAATATAATATAATTTGACTGGATGCCTGAGACCTGAAGGAACAGGTGTATTAATGAACAGTTAATTGAGCTGTGAATAGGTTATATAAATCAGAGGAATTTGTAGCGAATGTGGCCAAGTGAAAAAAGTTCAACTAAAAGAGTGGACTCTGACTGTTCAAAAACATTTATTTTCAAGTGTATAACATTATTTATCAATGAGATTAACGGAAAATCTATGTTATTAGCAATGTTATATTATTTTAAGTTAATAAAATTGCTTACCTGTGACATTTTACAATTCAAGAGATACCTACAACAAGCACTGGGATAGCATAGAGTCACAGAGATGTACAGCATGGAAACAGAACCTTCGGTCCCACTCATCCAAGCTGACCAGATATCCAAAATTAATCTAGTCCCATTTGCCAACATTTGGCCCATATCCCTCTAAACTCTTCCTATTCATATACCCATCCAGATGTGTTTAAATGTTGAATTGTACCAGTCTCCACCAAATATTTCTTGAGAATTTTTTATTTACTCGTAATATGAACTAGACAAAGTATATATGCCATGCTCAACCCAGGCATGAGAAAAGTAAAGCAGTACTATTTTTTGCCTGAAATTCAATTTGGCACTTCAATTCTTACCCTTTCTTGATATACAAGAGAATCAGGACAAACAATGCCAGGCTTCCAACACAGATGCCCAGGATCAAACCCATTCCATGAAAACGTGGTGCAGCCTCTTGTCTTCCTTTATACGCAGCTGTCGACAGAATAGGAAAGGGACAAAGAAAAGACAACAATGTAGTGTTATTTTCCCTGAAGATCAAACCAAATGTCCTTGGACTGAGTTTTACTCAGTTTTCTTGAAAGTACAGAGTGCAATAGAGTCCATTCTAAACCAGAACTGGCTGAAACGCAAGTTGGCACTGAAAATGTTTCATTTACTCCAATAGCCCTATTCCAGCACTAAGTTTTGTAGGAATGCACTACACGAGGTTAATATTTATTGTCTGGACAATCATAGTTGTTATAAAAAACAACGTAATTGTATTAATGGGCAAGTGAGTCTGAAAGAAACAAGAACTTTTAATACTCTTACCTTTTTCTGATCTACTACTTGATGTCATCAGCTAGAAATAATTCAGTGCAGGAAACCTTTAATTGTATTTGATAAATAAGCCTGGTGATTCTGTTCATACTGTTACACTGCCAAAAATGTGGAAGGGTGAGACTTTTCTTTATCTAGTCTGCCTTGGTGTTGATTTTAACCCAAACCCTGTAGACAGGATCACTGGCATAGGGATAGTAATTATGTTGCAATGGAATATGTTATTTTCTGGGCACTTGCAATAGATATTATATATATTCTGCAATATGATTTTCATACACCAAGAATGGGCAACAATTCTCCCATTTTAATGTGTAATAACATCCATATGTTAGGTTTCTGATTTAGAAGCTGAAAGGCTGAACAACAAATTAGAGATGAACTTGAAATTCTTACCACAAACATTTATGAAAACATGAAATTTTAGAAGTATCAACAAACCACATGACCTCTCAATCTCGTGCTGCTATTCATTAAGACTATGTGTGATCTTTACCTCCAATCCACATTTCCACCCACCAATGACACATTCACTTTGTTAATGCTTTGAGACAATTTATTCGATAATGGCTGATCTGATTTTAGCCACGACTACAATTTCCACCCCGTTCCCCATAATTTTTTAACTCATTACTAATTGAAAATGTGTCTCCTCCTTCCTAACATTAATGAGTGTAAAATATACTTTGTGACAGTCTAATAATTCTGTGCAAGTTAACTTGAGACATAGACAAACATATTCAGGATCACGCAAATTTTAAGTGAAAAGTTAACTTTTCTCCTTTGTTTTCATTGCTCAAGAGACATTCAAAGGTAAGAAATGAACACAATTAGTATGCAACACATATAGAGTGTCTTATCCTTCCTCCATCCAGAGCCTACACTCTGTCATCAGACGTTCCTCTCCATCTGCAGGCGTGCTCTAGTTCAAAGCACAGATCTTTCCCATGTCAGCTGATCATGGAGCTCCATGGTGAGAAGAGTGTGCACTAGCACAAACTTTCATTCAGTAACTTTAACTTGGAAAAAGAAAATAAAGGCTGAAAGTCATCCATTCAAATAAAAATTATGTGTTTCCAACAAACAGACCTAAAAACAAGCATGCTGCTTGAGAGGCGTACACAATATTTTAATTATCTAGCACACTCTTTTCTTTTGAAAAAAGTCATATTTCACTAAAATGAACTAGATGTTGTGCGAAAACTCATTTAAAAAAACAAAGCTTTGTGAAATAACTGTACAGAGGGTGGTATCCTATCACCAAGTCACCATTTATTTACTTGTGCACAGTACACTGGCTGTGGTCAGCCAGCTCAGAGTCAGCCCCCTGACTGAGGAGATTCTAAATCCCCTGTTTATAGTGGTCAGCCAGGACTTTCTGACTGCCCCAGGCTAACAACCCCAATCAAGGATCTCGTCGTCAACAAGTTCCACCTTTGGCAAATAAAATAGTGGGGAAACATGCTTGCTAATTTTAATGTGATTAGACAGATTTACTCCATAAGATGTCAGAATCACTAATGAATTTAACATATTCGTTTTCTTAGATGGTTGGGTGTTGGTTGGGAAGGCAAAGAGAGCAAACAGAACAGAGCACAAGTCTCAAATGCTTCAGATTTTGTCACCGTGTAATATGGCCTTTTTACTTAATCAACATTTTTGTATCAATGTTTAATACCTAATAGAAAAAACTGGAATGTTCTTTTACTACTTAAAGATGATATTACTTCCATATAATAAAACAAATGAAATGCCAAAGTAATGATCAGGCAAACACCACCATTAACAAAACGTTGGAGCATGAGACAGCAATGCCATGGAAATAAAAACTTTACCTTTCTCAGCAATTAATATGCAGTTTGTTTTCTTTTCCTGCATGTAATACATAAAAACAAAAAAAAAATCAGTAACCCTTTCATTTTAAATTTGTAGCAGAAGAACAGGAGAAGAACAATTTATTCGATAATGGCTGATCTGATTTTAGCCACGACTACAATTTCCACCCCGTTCCCCATAATTTTTTAACTCATTACTAATTGAAAATGTGTCTCCTCCTTCCTAACATTAACGAGTGTAAAATATACTTTGTGACAGTCTAATAATTCTGTGCAAGTTAACTTGAGACATAGACAAACATATTCAGGATGAAGCAAACGATTATATTCTGGTGAATAGAATACAAATTAAATAATGACCTTGATGTTCAAAATCCAGAAACAGATGATGTGAACATTTGAAAACGTTAATATCTTCAATTTTACCTGTGGCCATACACTGTAATTTGAAAGTGTAATTTGAACTTAGCAAAGTACAGCTATTGAATATGTTTCTAAATAAAACGCATCATTATTCTTTCTTCACATCTACCACAGTTTAGTTACTCTTATTTCCGTATTGATTCTTCTTCAGGAAGTTGCTCAAAGCGATAAGGATGCTTGTCATGAGGCAAAGCTTGAGTCAAAAGCCTGTCTGTATGGTCCTTCAACATGGGGAGGCTATTGCACTGCAGGTACCAGTAGGTTGAACAGAAAACTGCAACAGGTGCAGCACATGACTTGCAGGCTGTAAATCAACCAGTTTAGGCACATCATTAATGCACTTTGGTAGCTTTAAGACCTGGAGTGGGACCTCTGAGCTTCTGAATTGGAGACAAGAGAGTTGCTTACAGAGCCACAAGGATGAGGATTAAGACTGTAAGAAATAGAAACAGGAGTTCAGCCCCTTGAGCTTCTCTGCCATTCAACTGGATCAAGACTGATCTGACGTTCCTCAAATCCAGTCTCCTGCATTTTGTCCGGAATCCCTGATTCCGCTACTGATCAAGAATCTATCTATCTCAGTCTTAAATATAAAAAATAACTCTGTCCCACAGCCCTATATGGCAAGCCATTCCAAAGACTCACAGCCCTCTGAGAGAAGAAATTCCTCCTTATTTTCAGTCTTAAAATGGTACCCCTTTATTCTGAGACAATGGCCCTCTGATCCTAGACTCTCCCCCCATTTATCCTGTCAAGCCTCTTAAGAATCTTGTATATTTCAATAAGATCACCACTCCTTATTTTAAATTCCAATGAGTAGAGTCCTAATCTGTTTACCCTTTGCTCATAAGACAATTCCCTTACACAAAGGATCATCCTTGTGAACCTTTTCTGAACTCTTTCCAATGAAATTATATCTTTCCTTAAATAAGTAGATCAAAATTATTCACAAAGTACTCCATATTTGGTCTCACCAACACCTTGTACTGTCGTCATAAGACTTCCTACTCGTATTCTCCAACTCCCTTGACATAAGGGCCAACATTCCAATAGCCTTCCTGATTAGCTTCTGCTTCATGCACAAGTACCCCCCAAGTCCCTTTGTGTTGCAACTTCTGCAGTTTTTATCCATTTAAATAACATTCTGTTTTGTTCCCCTTCCTAAAATGAACAATTTCACATCTTCCCATATCTTCTGCTTGCCAACTTTTTCCCCACTTACTTAACCTATCACTATCTCCCTGTCAAATGTTTGTACCCCTTTCATGACTTGTCTTTCCACCTATTTTTGTGTCATCTGCAAATTTGGATACAGTACATTTGCTTCTTTCCCCCGAGTCATTAATGTGTATTGTAAACAGTTGTGGTCCCAGCACTGATCCCTGTGGAACCCCACTGGTCACAGGTCGCCAACCTGGAAAACAACCCCTTATCCCCACTCACTGTTTCCTGCCCATTTGCCCTTTTACTCTGTCTTGAAGTTCTCTGGTCTTCTCCAATAGTTTTTGGCTTGTTATGACAAGTGAATAAATTTTAAAATTTATTTCAATGGATATTAATTAAAGTATTGGAAATACTCAGCAGGTCACATTGAGTCAATGTCCAGTGATTCCTGTTCACATGCCTGAATGGAACAATTAAGTTGTATACATTGATTCCTAGTTTTCATACGTTTATGGCACAGCCTCTGCCAGCCCCTAACAAAACTGAGGGGAGGTAGTAATGGGTAGGAATCTTGGGACTGGAGGTCCTTTGTCTGCCATAAGATTAATGAAGTATTGGTGACTATTACATTGAACAAAGCAGGCAAATCGACTGATCACCTGCTAACCAGGCAGCATATAATTAGGTGATCCCTCTACCCCAAAACCTTGTAATGCATTTCCTATCATCAGGTTATCCACTGTCATTTTACATGGAAATATATGCTGGCCTAGCCAGTGGCATCTACATCCCATCAATGAATAAAAAAAAGTCACATAGATTATCATTGTCTATTTTGGGTCTGTGACACAGAATACCTTAAGCAAGTTTATCAACATCATGCAGATATCAGTCCACACATCAGGACACTGGGAAGGGTTCTGTAGAGGTGATATGTAGCTAAAGGATATGGCAGTAATGCAGGGCAGCTATTTAGATAGCGAAACCCAGAATGGGACAGAAATGGATAAAGTGCACAAACAAAAAAAGCAGCAAATAGGTTCCAAAGGAGAAAAAGTGGTGAAAGAGCAAAATTAATATCTCTTTACTTAAATGCATGTGGTATTCAATGTAGGCAATGACGAACCAAGAAATGGCAGATGGGGTTGAATAAGCACTTTGAATCAATTTTCATGATTAAGCACATGAGTAATGTTCCAAAAATACAAAATAATCAAGGGGCAAAAGGTAGTGAGGGGAAATAAATATAATAGCTATTACTGGAGGAAAAGGTATTGGAGGAAACTTTTGGATCTAAAGGACCAGTCCATGTAAACCAGTTCACTTGCGATTGAAAGTATTGTATAGGTAAGTTTATGAAGTATCACAATTATTTTTGTAGTGTACCTTGTTTTAATTACAAAAAGGACACATCCTGTTGTTAGGACTGCCTTGGGTTATTGATATCCAGAGTAAACCTGGTGGACCAGGGCAAGTAGAAATAAAAGCCTACAGTAACCACAGAGATAGTGGATACACTGGTAGTAATCTTCTAATAATCCTTAGATTTTGGATAAGTCTCAGTTGAAAAACTGCCAACATAATACCCTAATACGAAAAAGAGGGGGGTGCTAGAGATAAGAAAACAGGTAACTGTGGCCTAGTTACTTTTAAAATGTTATTGGGAAAACGTTGAGTCAATTGTAAAGGATGTATTAGCTGAAAATGTAGAAATACATGATATAATCCAGCAGAGTCAACATGGCTTCTTGAAGAGGAATACATGCCTGACAAAGTTATTTAGAATTCTTTGAAGAGGTAACAAGCAGTTTGAATATAGGGGAACTAGATGTAGTATATTTGGATTTCCAAAAGGCATTTGATTAGGCACCCCACATAAAGCTATTTGAAAAGATAAGAGCCCATGGGCTATATGTAGAATATTAGTATGGATAGAGTATTGGTGAATTAATAGAAAGAGTTGGGGTCATTTTCGACAAGGATCAGTATTGGAAACACAATTGTTGACAATATATGTAAGGGATGTGATTGCCAAGTTTGCAGTAATCACAAAAATAGGTGGGAAGACAAGTGGTGAGGATAGCACAAAAAGCAGCACTCTTGCTATAGGAGTGCAGATATTCTTGCTATAGGAGTGCAGATATTCTTGCTATAGGAGTGCAGCAAAAGTTTACTAAACTGATTCTTGGGATGGCAGACTAATGTATGTGGAGAGATTGAGTTGATTAGGATTATATTCACTGGAGTTTAGAAAAATGAAGGGGGGTATCTCATAAAAAATCTATAAAATTCTAACTGAGCTAGACAGGCTAGAACCAGGAAAAATGTTCCTGATGGGGGTAAGTCTGAAACCAGGGTCATAGTTTAAATTTAAGGGGTAAACCTTTCAAGACTGAGGAGAAATTTCTTCATCCAGACGATGATGAGCCTGTGGAATTCACTGCCACAGAAATTGGTTGAGGCCAAGACATTATGTGTTTTCAAGGAGGTAGGTTTTGCTCTTTGGCTAAAGGAATCAATGGATACGGGGCAAAGGCAGGATTAGAGTCTTGAGCTCAATGATTAGCCATGATCATACTGAACGGCAGAGCAGGCTCTAGGGGTAATATTGCCTACTCTTGCTCCTATCTTCTTTGCTTCTGTTTCTACTACTGCTCCTACGTCTTATGGCCACAATTTAATAATTACAGCTCAAATGCTGACTCATGTCATGCAACAGGATGGGAACCTGGATCAGATTTTATTTGAAAACCACATACTGTGGATACTGGAAATCTGAAACAAACACAGAGAATGCTGGGGAAACCCATAACATCAACTCTGTTTCTCTCTCCACAGATGCTGCCAGAACTGCTGAATCCTGTAGCAACCTTGGGTTTTGTTTTGATTTTATTTATCTTGATCCAAACAGACAACAATTTTGAGGAATCTGAAATCAGGGGAGGCAGTGGTCTAATGGTATTATTGCTGGACTGTAATTGCAGCAACACAGATAGTGTTCTGGGGACCCAGGATCATATCCTGCCATGGAAGATGGTGGAATTTGAATTCAATAAATATCTGGAATTAAGAATCTAATGATGACCGTGAATCCATTGTCAATTGTCGGAAAAACCCAACTGGTTCACTGATGTCCCTTAGGGAAGGAAACTGCCATCCTTACCTGGTCTGGCCTACATGTGACTCCAGACCTACAGCAATGTGGTTGGCTCTTAACTATCCCCAGGGCAATTAGGGATGGGCAATAAATGCTGCCTAGCCAGCAACGCCCTCATCCCATGAATGAGTAAAGAAAAAGAAAATCATACAAAGGAGTTTAACAAGGGCTGCTGAGCTGGTTGTTGCCATGTTGGAGATTAAACTTTATGTAATCTATTATTAACAAATCAGGTTCATTGAGTTGTGATAATGCTACTGGCCCCCAACATACTGAACTCTCACTGTGCCCTTAAACAATATTGGGCATCATTCAAAATTATACCTATACTTAAGCTTTTGCAAATGGCCCTAGGCAGAAGACAGAAGTTATTCAGAAAAAAAGCGCTAGAAAGAGTTAACAGGTTGGGTAACATCCTATGAATAGAGAAGAGTTAACATGCTGATTTTTCTTTTATGGACCCAATTTCCACTGTTGGGATGAAATAACGATCGGGAACTCACAAATGACTGTGGGTGATTTTGTTGGATGTAACCAATTGTGACTGCCCCAGAAAATCCCATCGAATTAGGCGGTTGTCCAGCAGTGTCAGAGTGGCAGCTCTACTGTCTGAGGTGGGAGCTACTGAGGTCACGTCTACTTCCGATTGCCAGCCACAAATTACTTAAGTAGGAGGGTTGGAATCTCCGGACATCAGGAGGAAAACCACTACAGTTCTGAGGCCCACAGTCAAAGTGTTACTTCCAAATAGACTGGAGACTCCAGCTATCTATTCTGCCATGGGGAGTGTGCCACAATTTTTTGGATGGCTTTCTGATGCAGCAGGTACCAATGCACCAGATCAAACATCTTGTTGAGGTTGGGACTGTATCCTCAAGGAACATGTCTAGTTATCTATCTCATTCTTGTGGCAGCTGTTATTCATGACCCACCAATTCTGCCAAAACTGCTGGAGGTGAGACCATTTTGGAAAGCTAGCCCGCTGATGAGGGTCATACCGCATCTTTCCCTGCCTCCAGTCCTGCTTGCTCAGTCAAGCAAAAAGTGAGCCCAATGTTTCAGATCAATGACCTTGCATACACGTTGAAAAGTTAGAGAGTATATATATTAACATAGTGGAAAGAATTTTGTGTGTGAGGAGAGGGGAATCAGAGTGGGTAGGTGAAAAGAGAATCAAAGGAAGTGTTTGTAAAAGGCTAAAAGTAGATTTAAAGCCATGAAGGAAATTCTCTTTCTCCAGTTTTGATGAGAAAACATCAATTGAAAAATTAACTGTTTCTCTCTCCACAGCTAGATGTGCTGAGCTTTTTCAACATCTTCACTTTTCTAAATATAAATTTTCAGCATCCACGATGTTTTACTTTCCACTGAAGTTAACAATGTTTATTGACATTGATATAGTTATAACCTGTAACCTGCACATGGGTACAGCTGGCTGGGAATCCATAGAGATTTATTGCATGTTGGCATGTTAATAGATTTGCATCAGCTGCAGAGTGGCACAAGCCAATAACTTTAGAACTTACATGCTCTTTCCGGTGACAGTGGCAACAGTATTTTTAAAGGCAATGTTCTTTTCTTCCTACAGGGATATTGTGTGCTTGCTGCCTGCTCCTATTTTGAAATTTGTTTCTCTTTGCACATGTACGTAGAACCACAACAGGATGCAGAGCAGAGAGTCAAACAATATCTTAATATGACAACATAATCGAAAGACACTAGACATCACAAACTAAACAGCTTGTAGTTAGTGCTCCTATGATGCTGCTTGGCCTGCTGTGTTCATCCAGCCCTGCACCTTGTTGTCTCGGATTCTCCAGCATCTGCAGTTCCTACTATCTCAGCTTGTAGTTAGTAACTGATCCTAATGCTGTTGATGTGCAGCATTTGAAGGACCCAAAACGTTTTAGAACTATGAGACAGGTAACCAATTTTGATATGGGTTATGCATCTTCAGCTTGTGGAAATTAGTCCCAGGAAAGGAATAAGTTTGCTCTATTGGACCAACAAGCAGTACAAAAATGCAGAACTTTATTGCTCACATTGGGTAATATTACTTTCTTGTCACACATAGAATGCAGGATTCAAGCACTCTGAGGTTGTTCTCCTCAAGCAATTAAGGTTGAGGGGAGGCTTAATAGAGATGTTCTGGTACATCTTGTGTAAAATTGTCCAGGTATGTCCTGTCTACTAAATCCAATCTGAACAACTATCACTTTACTCTTTCTCATCAGCAAAATAATCAGCTCACTGAAGCTCAGCTTGGGTTCCACCAGGCTGACTCAGCTCCTGTCACTACTGCCTTGGTACACACATGGACAAAAGAGCTGAACTTCTGAGTCGAGTTGTGCATGACTGAACTTGACGTCAGGGTAACATTTGACTGAATGAGTGTGAAAACAAAAAGCACTGGTAAAACTGAGGACATTGTGAATTGGGGGAAAAGAAAAAAAACTTTTTTACTTGTTGCACTGATACCTTGTACAAAGGAAGCTCGTTGTGATTGTTTAAGGTCAGGAGTTTCACAGGATAAAGACCCAGGCCCAACCAACCTCAGCTACTTAATAGTAACCTTCTTTCCATCATAGGGTTAGAAGTGGGGATACTGATTGTGTTTTTTTACTTCTTTTACTCACTGAGACAAGATGGGGCCGTTTGCGAGCTCCCTACAGCAGATCTGACTACCATTTCTCATAACCATTCTATTCTTTCAAACTTCAATTCTAAATCTGCAAAAATTACCAACAATGTTTTTTTTAATCAGTGTAGCTTGTACCTCCGTCTAAGTTGTTTTGATCTGTACATCCTTGCTTACTATGATCTGCCTGTACTGCTCATAAACAAAGCTTTTTACTGTACTTTGATAAACATGTCAATAGATCTATCAATCAATCACTCAGTTATGAAGAATGGACTGGATGAAGATTTCAGGGGAAAATTTGATGTGGAAAGTTGCATTGTCATAACTTCTAGATTCTTCATCCATCAATTTAGCTGGGAGGAAATTATGCAGCCTTTTTTTATAAAAATATAATTTACCATGCATTATTCTCCTCACAGCACAGGAATCCTTTTATATACAAGAATGACCAGGGGAAATGTTACCCATTCTTCCCCTAAAAAAAGTCCCCTCCAGTTTTCTGTTGTTGACACAGTGCCATAGGCACCAGAAGCTCTGCAGCACTTTGACTGACTGGTTTTTATCTGTTATATTCCTATAATTGTTTTGAGAAAAACAACTGCAATGGTTTGGGCATGTTTCAAGAATGGAAGCAGCTGGAATAGCTTCCTTGCATGCAGAGGTATATGGAACAAAGAAGACCAAGGAGGTATTGGAGAGGCAATGTCAAGAGTGACCTGTCATAAAACAGGATTCAGATCCAGCTAGTTCAGAACTAACAACAGTAAAGTGAATTATTTGGCTCCATCATTGCTGCTGAACTAATGGTTAGGAATTGAATACTTAGTCGTAATCATTGTATACTAACCCCTTTGAAATTGCTCGTAGCTTGAAAGTAGATGCTATAGTTCTTCGTGGATTCTAGTGGCACATTCCAGTAGCCATTGTAGTTGTTATTATCTCCAACAGTGAAAGGCCTGGGTCCTGTAAGGCTGCTGGGTATGAGCTCTGCACTGTAATAGTGTGGAATGCCTTCAGCTGCAGCCTTTTCCCATGTAATGGACAAAGGAAAGCACTCTTGTGTTCTGAGTTCTTGCTTCACTTTATGTAGCTTGTTCTCTTTCACAATGATGTGGTAAACACTTTAAACACACAATGCACAAAAGAAATTTATAATTAATAAAGTTGTATGCTCAGCTTATTTGGAAACATTTAGAATAAAAATTACAACAACATCCTTTCTTAAAACGTTAAATGGACAGTCTGGAGAAGATGGGGTTATTCTCTTTGACGCACAGAAGATTAAGGAGAGATATGATAGAGGTCTTCTAAATTATGAAGGGTCTGATAGAGTAAATAAAGAAATACTATTGTATACAACAGAAAGGCCAGTAGACAGAGGACACAGATTTAAAATAATTTGCAGATGTGATAACATGAGAAAACATTTTAAGGAGTAAAGCAAAAGCTGTGAGGTGAAGCATTTAAACATGGTACTTCATCTCTTTTCAGATGTGTGGCTTTGTGAGAGGCAGTGAGTAATGAGGTGAACCTCTGAGAAGAAGACCATAAAGGGATCATTACCCATGCCGAGTCTCACGTAAAATAAATAGAAAACTTCATTATAAGAAAATCGTATCATTTATTTTCTACTTAAATTTAAGTCCAGGAATAACAAATATATTGGAATTTGTTGATTTTTCAAAGAAATTCTTATGCATAACTGTCATTACAATTCCTCCTGTCCTATTACCTCTTTCGGAGCTATGTGAAAATAATTGATTGACATGTGGAGTAACAGTGTAGATGCATACAGGAAGGTAATCCCACAAAAATAATTCACCATGAAAGGGATGATGTGTAATGGCTATGTGGCTACTTTTAATGAAATTTTAGAAATGTACTTTTGAATATATTTAGAGGGTTGCTATTGGTAGTATGTAAATTTCCAAAACCAACTCTTTCCAGCATACATCCCTTAATATATGTACACATTTATCTGTGTTTTGTAAAAAAAGGCACAGTCTTGCCCAATGTAATATGTGATGCTGCATGTAACGCAAATATCAAAATTATTTCTATACTTTCTCCCTCAGTGATTTTACTGAAGCCTCCCAATGATAAATCAAAGATTTGAGATATTGAACTTCCCCACTGTTCATAGATCTTTTGTGATAGCAATCTGCATGGAATATATGGCTCACTGTCGGGTGACTGATGCCTTCCCACTTTCCACAGTTTCTTTGCCAGCAGGAAATCTCACCTGATTGGAGCACCACGGCCTCGTGCTGGCTTCAGCTGGACAGTAATGGTGATGTTCGTTACATCCAACGGAGAAGGCATGCTATCATATTCAAAGGAAGGAGCTGTGGGAGTGAAATATTTCAGATATGTGATCAACCATTTTAAACTGGGATAGACAGAACCCACTCTCTGATCCAAAGACGACTAGAAGCAATCCAGGTTCACACATCTTGACGAATTGCTGATCAATTCTACCAATATTTGATATATTTCATGGAGATGACATCATAAGGGGCATGGAAGCATAATCATCAGGGCAGCACGGTGGCTCAGTGGTTAGCACTGCTGTCTTATAGTGCCAGGAACCCAGGCTGGAATCCAGCCTTGGATGACTGGCTATGTAGACTTTGCACATTCTCCCTGTGTCTGCGTAAATTTCCTCTGGGTGCTCTGGTTTTCTACAGTCCAAAGATGTGCAGGTTAGGTGGATTAACCACCTGTTAGGTGGGTCGAGTTGTGGATAGTGCGGAGGGCTGTTCTAGGTTACAAAGGGACATTGATAGGATGCAGAGCTGGGCTGAGAAGTGGCAGATGGAGTTTAACCTGAAAAGTGTGAGGTGATTCATTCTGAAAGGAAAAATTTGAAAGCAGAATACAGGGTTACCGGAAAGATTCTTGGCAGTGTGGAGGAGCAGAGGGATTTTGGGGTTCATGTCTACAGTTCCCCGAAAGCTGCCACCCAGGTGGATAGAGTTGTTAAGAAGGCGTTTGGTGTGTTAGCTTTCATTAATAGAGGGATTGAGTTCAAGAGCCGTGAAGTTATGCTCCGGTTATACAAAACCCTGGTTCAGCCACATCTGGAGTATTGTGTCCAGTTCTGGTCATCTCATTACAAGAAAGATGTGGAAGCATTGGAAAAGGTGCAGAAGAAATTTACCAGGATGTTGCCTGGAATGGAGGGAAGGTCTTACGAGGAAAGGTTGAGAGAGCTAGGGCTTTTTTCTTTAGAATGATGAAGGGTGAGAGGAGACTTGATAGAGGTGTACAAAATGATCAGAGGTATAGATAGAGTGGACAGCCAGAGACTTTTTCCGAGGGTGGAGGTAGCTATTTCGAGGGGGCATAGTTTTAATGTGAGTGGAGATAGATATAGGGGAGACGTCAGAGGTAAGTTCTTTACTCAGAGAGTGGTAGGGGCATGGAATGCATTGCCGGAGAGGGTAGTGGAGTCGGCCTCATTAGGGACATTTAAGTGGCTATTAGATAGGCATTTGGATGATAGTATAAGGGGTGGAGGTTAGATAGACCTTAGGTTTAGGGTAAAAGTTTGGCACAACATCATGGGCCGAAGGGCCTCTACTTTGCTGTACTGTTCTATGTTCTATGTAATGTACAGGGATGTGTAGATTAGGTGGGTTAGCCCTCGTAATTGTGGGGTCATGGTGATAGGGTGGGGATCTGGGTGGAATGCTCTTCTGAGGTTGGTGTGGATTTGATGGGCCAAATGGCCTCTTTCCCCACTGTAGGGAGATTCTATGTTTATGGACTAGTAATTCAGAAAGCTCAGCTGACAGTCCAAGAGAACTGAAATCCCACAATAATAGCAAGGGCACTTAAATCTATAAATACATTTGATACAAAAAAAAACTGTCAGAAATGGTAACATTGATTTTCTTAAAAACCCATCCCATTTGCAGGCAGGATAGCTGCTGTCCTTACCAGGTCAGGCCTACATGTTACTCCAGACCTGGAATATGTGGTTGGCTTTTAACTTTCCTATAATGCCCCAGCAAACCACTCATTTGTTTCAATATGGCAACTCACCACTATTTCCTCAAAGGGATGGCTTAAATTCTGGCCTTTACATATTCATTCATTGAATTAAAAAGACTGCAATATGTTTTCTTTTTCTCAATGAAAATTAATTTGAAAAGAATGCTCAAAGGACATAAACCCTAAACCCACAGCATAAACAATTGTGAATATGTCATCACGAATCTGTTTTCTAAGACAACAATCAGAGCGCTGTGTCATGGTTATGGGTCTGGACTGCTGATTCTGCATCCTGGACTAATAATTCAGACAGAATAGTTCAAACCCTTTCTGGCAGTTTGAGAATTTGAAGTCAGTTTAAAAAAAAATCTGAGATTAAATGAAGCTGGTCTTAGCAGTCGTGATCTGAAGCTGCCAAATTGACATAAAAATCCAACAAATCCTTTGAGAACCTGTTATCCTTACCCAGTCTGACACATATATTCATATCTCTCAGTTCCATTAGATCATAAGATATAGGAGCAGAATTTGTCCATTAGGCTCTTTGAATCTGTTCCGCCAATCAATCATGGCTGATGTCTTTCTCAACCATATTCTCTTGCCTTCTCCCCATAACCCTTGATCCCTTTACTAATGAAGAACAATCCACCTATGTCTTAAATACACTCAATGACTTGGTCTCCACAGCCTTCTTTGGCATAACATTCCTGCACTTAATCACCTCCTTGCACCTCCTCTGAAGTGTTCCTATTCTCAGTTTGCTTTAATCCCACTTGAATTCAAGCTAAAATCCATGGAACAGCTTTGAATTGGTACATAATTATTCTCTATACCTTGAGTGTATCTGAATGAGAAATCCTAGGCAAAGATGTAAAATCATTCTTGCTATGTCCTGTCCTTCCACCTCACTACATTTATTTTTATTTGTTCTTGGAATACAGCAATGTTAATGAGTGAGCATTTTTAATGCCCAACATTAGTCACTAGGGACCATGAACTATCAGTCACAAATTTTGTGACAGCAATTACATGTTTTTTGTTCCCATCTCTCAAGGAGATTGGTAAATCTGTTGTGATTTTTTTCTATAATCAAGCGGTTTCAATGGTCGTTGATTTCTGTTGCTAGCCCTCAAACTGGTACATTTATTAAATTCAGCTATGTCTTACTGTGGGATTTGAACTCAGGATGTCAGGGTTTCTAATCTGCTGCTATGAAGTTTGGTAGGTAATTAAACCTAATCTTGATGTGGACGTTAATTAATTGATTAATATGTATATGTAAATCCCCAAATTTCTTTCAAGTCACTGCCCTGAGAGAACTAAAGGATTTATCAGTGTAAAGAAGAGGTCACATTTTAGGTCAGACAGTACATGTTAGGTGCAAGGCCTTGTTTAGAATCTGTTTGTGTTTTGGTTTGGAGTCAGACTGGTTTTATTTCTAAGGTAGGAATTTATAAAATGACACATTGACACACGACAACTGATGAATGGATACCGCGCTAATAGTACTGAAGACTTATGCTCCAGATCAAGCTGTGCTCTTAGCCATGCTGTTCCAGTACAGCTACAACATTGGCGTTCAACCAACTATTTGCAAAATTGCCCAGGAATGTCCTGACCATAAAACTCCAGCCCAATGCAAATCCAATCCAGAAAATTACCACCTAATCAGTCTAGGCTTGACCATCAATAAAGTGGTGGAAGAAGTTATCAGCTGTGCTATCAAGCAGCACTTGCACTGTAATAACCTGTTTACTGACGTCAGTTTTGGATTCAGCAGGGGCACTCATTTCCTGACCTAATTACAGCCTTGATCCAAACATGGACAAAGGAGCTGAATTCCACAGGTGAGATGAGAGTAATTGCCCTTGGCAGCAAGATAACATTTAACTGTATGGCGTCAAGGAGTCCTGGCAAAATTGAAGTCAAAGAGAATTGATGGGAAAATTCTCTGCTGGTTGGAGTCATATTTTGCACAAAGGAAGATTGCCATTTTTGTTGCAGGTCAATTATTTCAGTCCCAGGACAGCATTACAGGAGTTCCTCGGGGCAGTGTCCAAGGCCCAACCGACTTCAGTTGCTTCATCAATCACATCCCCACCATCATAAGATAAAATGTAGGGATGTTTGCTGATGATAACAAAATGTTCAACACCATTCACTTCAGTTATTGAAGTGGCTTGTGTCCTAATACAGCAAGACCTGGATAATATCCTGGCCTGGGCTGATAAATGTCAAGTAACATTCACAGATGAAAAATGTAAAGTGATAACCATGTCTAACAAGAGAGAATCTAACAATTGCCTCCTGACATTTAATGCATTACCACTGCAGTCAAATCCCCCATTATCAACATTCTGGGAATTATCTTTTATTAGAAATTGAACTGCAGGAAAGTATCTCAAATGATGTAATCAGAAATGATGTCTGCAATATCCATAGATCATGGATACTTGGGAGATGAGAGAAAACCTGAGACACAATAATGAGGCTGAGATACTCCTGTGGATGAGTAACATGCACTCATTTAACCTGTTACAGAACAGACAGCGTGGCCTGACTGGCTGCCAGCTCAAGAGTTTAACAGATGTAAATAAGATTAAATGTGTGATAATATGCTAACTGACATTGTTCTGACAATTCCTGTTATACCAGGATCAACACCCTCTAAGACATTATATAGAATGGAGAATATTGGGATTATTGTGGAATAGTATTACATGAGGTACTATAACATTCCACCATATGCAGTAGAGATAGGAGGTGATACAATAAGTCTTTAGATAGATGTAATATAGCAGTCACTTCAGTCGTTGTCCACATCTGATATATGAGACAGAAGAAGCACAGCTTGGATTTAATGCAACAGTAAACTGTACGAATGGAAGCTATGTCGGCTGTAAGGAACCAACTCAAATTACACATACAGGTACAGGAAGATATAGTATCACTTCATCATAACAGGAGTATCAATATGTGAACAATTGATCCTGTCCTAAAACCAGTCTTGCAGTACATCTGTACTCAAAGGTACCAGCTAGGGTGGGAAAGATAAGAACTGGTGGAAATCTACAGGATAGACGTTATGGAAAACCTGACACAGTATCTGAGCTAATTCTCCGATGTAATCTCACTATTACCTGAGCACCTTAAAATTATTAAAGATGATGCCTAGCGAGAGCATAGAAAATATGATACATTGCAGCAACAAGCCACAGCATTGACTGATGATGTCAAACAAATACATACCATCATATAGGAGAAGGGCCTACGGAATTAGAAATACGTAGATACACACATGTGGATTAGGATCATCTCCCATGTTTTGGTTATTGCCCAGTAGGTATTG